ATGAAACAACTTGATCAAAAAAAGTATTATATGAAACAACTTCACAAGATTAAACAATTTCATGAAAAATTTTCATAAGATTAAACAATGAAATCGACGGATGAAGGTGGTTTGCACGGTTTACACAAATGAGGACGGTTTTTATTTGATCACTCCTATATATATATATATATATATATATATATATATATAACCTTTCATTCACATACCATACATGGCGCATGCATATACATACAGGGAATGGTTCAAACAAGAACCCATGTGATTTACAAGAACAGGATAATAACCTATTAACCTCATATTATGATAACAATAAAAATTAAAAGATTTTTTAAATTAAAAATTGAAATTTAAAATGATTAAAAAAAAGTGAGAGTCAAAAGGGTAATATTGGAATTCAAAATGATAAAATTTTAAACACGATCACATTAACCCGATCAACCTGGAAATTAGAGTTATCGACTTATTTCAACACTTATCAATTATTTAAACTGAGAAGAAGGTATCGATTAAGAAGGTATCGAAAGGATTTCAAGGAGAAATCGAAGATCAAGAAGCCGTAAAGTTTGGATGCGGTAATCGAACAACAAGAAGCCGTAAGGTTTGCATCTAGGAATCGAACAACAAAAAGAAGCCGTAAGGTTTGCATGCAGGAATCGAACAACAAGAGGAAGCCGTAGAACACAGTTTATTGAAAGTATCTGTCACTATTACTCGATTTGAACATGCTTTCATTCGATTAGGAATAAAGAATCACACATTTATCACAATGATTAAGAGCGAAATCGACTAAAAGATTTGGTGTGACATGGGTGTGATAATAATGTGATATCTCTATTATAACATTACTTGCTCATAGTCGCACTCGATTAGATGAAGGTTTCGATCGGTTAGGGTTAGACAATCACACAATTATCACAAGAACTCCACGCAAAAAAATATGGATACTATGAACGATGTAAAAAAAAGCAGATAAAAAAGTCGAATATAAAAAAAACCAACTAGAGAAGAAAATGTAAAGGAAGAACCATGATCAATTAAAAAAAGAGAATAATTCTAATTAATTAAAATAAAATAAAAATTATTTGTTCTGCAATCACAAGTTTCAACTGTTATAATCACCCCAAATTTACGCTTCAAAATATTTAAATTAAATGTGTAGGAGATAAATTTTGGGTGGAAGTATTTGACAGTTATTTAGTCTTTCTTTGTGTTGAATGTCATCCGATTCCGATCCGCCATCTCTTTTGACTCTGTATCATTATCATTCAAAGAAATGGAAGCTTTGGAATGCCGGAAGCTCGGCGATCCAACAATCCCACCGGATTCCTCCCAAAACTCACCTCTCACTGTCTCAAAGTCTTACCCAATCCCCAAACTCATCTCTTCCACTTCAATCAGAGTTCGAATCAATTACACCAGCTTGAACTATGCCACATACCTCCAAGTCCTCGGTAAATATCAAGAAAAATTGCCTCCGCCCTTCGTTCTTGGCTCCGATTACTCCGGCGTCGTCGAATCCATTGGTTCCAATGTCACCAAATTCAAAATCGGAGATCCTGTTTGTTCCTCAGCGGCTAAAGGTTCTTTCGCCCAATTTATTGTCGCGGAAGAGAATGAATTGTGAGTTGATGTGATTTCATGAGTTTTCTGAATCTGAATCTGAATATGAAGTTTAGAACCCTAATTTTGAGTTGAAGTAATTGAAGGTTTGGAGTTCCTGATGGGTGTGATCTGGTGGCTGCTGCTGCGATTCCACTTGCCTATGGAACTTCTCATCAGGCATTGCTTCATAGAGCTAATCTTAGATCTGGACAGGTGTCACTCTTTCCTTTAATTCTCTCTTAATCTAAGCCACCAAAGATTTCTCTTTGTTTTTTAAGAAAAAAACTATATTTAATTTTAACAGTTTTTCATTTTATAGATATAAGATATCGTGATCGTTCCAATCTTTTTCTATTAAAATAATTGTACATTTATCTATACTATATTATAAAATATTTGATAAAAACTCTTAAAAACCATTTTTTATGCGTAAAATACTGTTTATTAATGCATATTACTTAAAACTCAAGATTGCAAGTAGATTGTGCGTAAGTACAATTTATTAAGCTTCATATCTACATTCGTATAACTAATTGCAGATAAAGATAATCAAATATAGGATAAACATCTCATTTTAATTATAAAAAATCTAAAATATAATTAAGATAATCATTAAATTCTAGCAGAATACTTAATTATTATCTTTATAAAAT